AAGAGAGTATCAGAACTCTAAAAAAAATGTCACATTTTTAAATATGGTACGCCAAGTCTTGTGTGAACTTGGCACACCATATTCAAAAATTCGACATTTTTTTTACAGTTCTGATACTCTCTTGAAAAGTTCTAGAGCTCTTTGCAACAATTTTCAATAGTTCCGGTCATTAAATACAAAAAAATAGACTTTTAAAAAAAGGTGCGCTAAGTTCTCGAAGCGCACTTAATCAGTAAAATCAACTATTTCTTTAAAACTATTGTTATATATGATATAGAACTCTAGAACTATTGTAAAACAAACCGGAACTCTAAAGAAATAGTTAATTTAAATAGTTTTTTTGATTAGGTGCGCTAAGTTCTCGAAGCGCACTTAATCAGTAAAATCAACTATTTCTTTAAAACTATTGTTATATATGATATAGAACTCTAGAACTATTGTAAAACAAACCGGAACTCTAAAGAAATAGTTAATTTAAATAGTTTTTTTGATTAGGTGCGCTAAGTTCTCGAAGCGCACTTAATCAGTAAAATCAACTATTTCTTTAAAACTATTGTTATATATGATATAGAACTCTAGAACTATTGTAAAACAAACCGGAACTCTAAAGAAATAGTTAATTTAAATAGTTTTTTTGATTAGGTGCGCTAAGTTCTCGAAGCGCACTTAATCAGTAAAATCAACTATTTCTTTAAAACTATTGTTATATATGATATAGAACTCTAGAACTATTGTAAAACAAACCGGAACTCTAAAGAAATAGTTAATTTAAATAGTTTTTTTGATTAGGTGCGCTAAGTTCTCGAAGCGCACTTAATCAGTAAAATCAACTATTTCTTTAAAACTATTGTTATATATGATATAGAACTCTAGAACTATTGTAAAACAAACCGGAACTCTAAAGAAATAGTTAATTTAAATAGTTTTTTTGATTAGGTGCGCTAAGTTCTCGAAGCGCACTTAATCAGTAAAATCAACTATTTCTTTAAAACTATTGTTATATATGATATAGAACTCTAGAACTATTGTAAAACAAACCGGAACTCTAAAGAAATAGTTAATTTAAATAGTTTTTTTGATTAGGTGCGCTAAGTTCTCGAAGCGCACTTAATCAGTAAAATCAACTATTTCTTTAAAACTATTGTTATATATGATATAGAACTCTAGAACTATTGTAAAACAAACCGGAACTCTAAAGAAATAGTTAATTTAAATAGTTTTTTTGATTAGGTGCGCTAAGTTCTCGAAGCGCACTTAATCAGTAAAATCAACTATTTCTTTAAAACTATTGTTATATATGATATAGAACTCTAGAACTATTGTAAAACAAACCGGAACTCTAAAGAAATAGTTAATTTAAATAGTTTTTTTGATTAGGTGCGCTAAGTTCTCGAAGCGCACTTAATCAGTAAAATCAACTATTTCTTTAAAACTATTGTTATATATGATATAGAACTCTAGAACTATTGTAAAACAAACCGGAACTCTAAAGAAATAGTTAATTTAAATAGTTTTTTTGATTAGGTGCGCTAAGTTCTCGAAGCGCACTTAATCAGTAAAATCAACTATTTCTTTAAAACTATTGTTATATATGATATAGAACTCTAGAACTATTGTAAAACAAACCGGAACTCTAAAGAAATAGTTAATTTAAATAGTTTTTTTGATTAGGTGCGCTAAGTTCTCGAAGCGCACTTAATCAGTAAAATCAACTATTTCTTTAAAACTATTGTTATATATGATATAGAACTCTAGAACTATTGTAAAACAAACCGGAACTCTAAAGAAATAGTTAATTTAAATAGTTTTTTTGATTAGGTGCGCTAAGTTCTCGAAGCGCACTTAATCAGTAAAATCAACTATTTCTTTAAAACTATTGTTATATATGATATAGAACTCTAGAACTATTGTAAAACAAACCGGAACTCTAAAGAAATAGTTAATTTAAATAGTTTTTTTGATTAGGTGCGCTAAGTTCTCGAAGCGCACTTAATCAGTAAAATCAACTATTTCTTTAAAACTATTGTTATATATGATATAGAACTCTAGAACTATTGTAAAACAAACCGGAACTCTAAAGAAATAGTTAATTTAAATAGTTTTTTTGATTAGGTGCGCTGCGAGAACTTAGCGCACCTTTTTTTGAAAGTCTGTTTTTTTGTATTTAATGACCGGAATTATTTAAAATTGTTGCATAGAGCTCTAGAACTTTTCAAGAGAGTATCAGAACTGTAAAAAAAATGTCGAATTTTTGAATATGGTGTGCCAAGTTCACACAAGACTTGGCGTACCATATTTAAAAATGTGACATTTTTTTAGAGTTCTGATACTCTCTTGAAAAGTTCTAGAGCTCTATGCAACAATTTTAAATAGTTCCGGTCAGTAAATACAAAAAAACAGAATTTCAAAAAAAGATGCGCTAAATTCTCGCAGCGCACCTAATCAAAAAAACTATTTTAATTAACTATTTCTTTAGAGTTCCGGTTTGTTTTACAATAGTTCTAGAGCTCTATGCAACAATTTTAAATAGTTCCGGTCAGTAAATACAAAAAAACAGAATTTCAAAAAAAGATGCGCTAAATTCTCGCAGCGCACCTAATCAAAAAAACTATTTTAATTAACTATTTCTTTAGAGTTCCGGTTTGTTTTACAATAGTTCTAGAGCTCTATGCAACAATTTTAAATAGTTCCGGTCAGTAAATACAAAAAAACAGAATTTCAAAAAAAGATGCGCTAAATTCTCGCAGCGCACCTAATCAAAAAAACTATTTTAATTAACTATTTCTTTAGAGTTCCGGTTTGTTTTACAATAGTTCTAGAGTTCTATATCATATATAACAATAGTTCTAAAGAAAAAGTTGATTTTACTGATTAGGTGCGCTGCGAGAACTTAGCGCACCTTTTCTTAAAAATCTATTTTTTTGTATTTAATTACCGGAACTATTTAAAATTGTTGCATAGAGCTCTGTCGGATCTGTCGGATGAAAACAAACAACATTTACATCACATACGAGATCGCGCTTACCAACATCTGTTGACCTCTGATGGCGTCGGGTGCGTAAGCTATTACCATCACACAAAGTGATATGCAATCGAGCACGTTGACCATCTCGTCTTCATCGTGGTAGCAGAAGTCTATTGCTTTCAAAGGCTTCTCTTCTTTCACCAATTCGCCTATATTGAGCGGATCTGGCGATGGAGTTTCCAAACTCAACAACAAATTGAACAAGCACGTGGATGGGACCTTAACAAATGGCATATACAATAAAGCGTATTAGAAAATACTTTGTATACATTCGTGTGTTGATCTAACGAAATCAATTATGTAGAATCGCGCTTTTGAATGATCTATCAAAGAAAGCGAACCTTGTGAGCCTCGCCGTGTACGCTCAGTTCATCCGTATCCAATATAGTGGATACACTGCCGAACATCTGAAGAATAAACGGTTTGCGGTTCATGAGATAAAACTGCTTGACAGCGTACTCGACAGTGGTTGTCACGAGTTTGTTCGTTTGGTGCGTCGAGTAGAGCTGCAGTAAAGTCGGCATGATCAGCAGGTAACCGTTCGTCGAAAAGATATTCTTGAAATTGTGCGCCGCGTTGATGTAGGTGGCCACGACGTAACGTAAAATACAGGAATCCTCGCTATGAATAATCAGGGCGCCATTCAGGACGTTCAGAAAGAGGTGGATATCGCCGGAATACGCGAAATTACCGGCCATTGCCTCGAACATTCGCGCGATCAATCTGACCCACATAAACTTGTGCATCACGTCCAGCCCGAGGAGCTCCTAAAATCAAGAGAAAAAAATGAATACGGAGAGAAAGGATTTGTTAAATTAACATAATATAACTAAACGTATTTAGGTTGAAGGAAATAGAATTTCCTTCTTATGAATCATATTCGGTCTTTAAGAGACAGGAATTCTGTTTCCTTCAAGTAAAACGGTCGTGCCAATGACATGTTAATTTAACGAAACTGTCTTTCCGTGAAGATAAACATTCGCAGGTATATCTCAGTGTTTGCAAGCTTAAAAACAATTAAAGAAATTGAAAATTGGAAAGTGAACTGCTGTATTCTTATCGTGTGTTCTTGTTGTGCAATACGGGATATTCACGATTTCAATTAAAACGCAACGTTAAATTCTTCCACTGTGAACAGTAACACGTGAAGAAAACTAAAACATTCAAATACATACTCTCCCAATCTCGCCACCTTTGTACAGATCCAAGTTCGCTTCTAGCGCTTTACGCGGGAACGACGGCAACTTCATGAGCTCCTCGTGAAGAAATACGACTCTCTGCACCACCATGTCGACATTTTTCAAAATCGCCCAAGTCAGCAGCACTTTTCCTATCTCGACGAACTTGTGCATTAGTTCCTGCTGCTGTAACAAGTTGAACGCGTCCTCCGGCTTCATGTGGACGAGCTCGATTTGCGGGAATTGCGATCTCTTGAAGAAATAGTAGTCTCTGACGTACGACGACGGATTGTGTATTTGATCTGTAAGTCAGCGAGAACAACTGTATTCTTAACAGAACTGCAGGATATTATATGAGAATAGAAATTAACAAAGAGAATGTGAAACCAACGCGTCTTGTAATCAACGAGGAAGTATTCGCGGTGTTTCGCTTCCTCGATGCCGAAAAAGTCCAAGGATTCCCTGAGTATCTGGCAGAACTGCGTGTCCTCTTGAACGGGGAACTGCGAGGGTATTTCCCCGGCGTCGGGATCTTGCGGGCCGTGAACGATAATTTTTTTCGCCGATGGGACATTTGCCGTGAGCAGAATCGACGCGTCGCATTGCTCCTTCCGCAGAATCTGCTTTAGATCTTTAAACATGATGCCGTGCACACTGTGTACCACCTATTAGACGAAAATCATCGTTAATAATATGGTAGCGTTGCCAAAGTATAGTCTATAAATCAAGTAGAAAGAAAAGACACGTGTATGTTACCATCCATAGAATGGACAATGCGGTTCCGATCAGCTTCTGACCACCTTCGTGCGGAGAACGCACGTAAAACATCACATAGCCAATGATATAGTTGTACAACGCGAACGCAGCCTGCTGCGGTAACTTCGGTACAAATCTAATAAGATGTCGCAGAATTTTAAACATTAACTCTTGCTGGTCTCTCGTGAGGCGCTCCAACACGTATCGGAGAAACAAGGCGCTGTCCTCCACCAGGCAGCTCCAAATGACCTGACATAAAATACAGAAGAATAAGTAAGAATTCTACAATAATAATATAATATATATGTAAGAATATAATTTATAAATTTAATTAATTTAACCCCAGAACCTTAAATATATCAGAAAGTTACGTAGATCCTAAACATGGATAAATTTTATTCAACGTATTTTCATTTGCTTATAACTTTCAAAAAAATGATTAAATGAATTCAATCCTTTTTTTAAATCGGTGTAGAAAACATGTGAATCTATTAATATTTTTGCGATTCAATAAAGTTGAGAAAAGTTATAATAAAAAAACAAGATACATGTTTTTAAGAACGGTAACGTTTAAAAAGTTGTCTGAGTAAATTTTAACCATGTTTAGTGTTCTATAGAGGGTTAATTAAAAATTTAGAAGTCATATTAATATCAAATGCAAATTTTATTATTAAATTTGTTAAATTTACTAAAGTTTATTTGTTAAGTAATGTAATTTGTTAATTTTGTTAAAAATAATTGAATTAATTATTTGGTTGATATACCTGGTATGCCACTTCATATACCGCATTTCCATCGTCGGAGACTGCCGGGTCGTCCAGGAGATTAATAATTTGAACGATCGCCGAGCATAATGAAGAGGGGAACAACGAGAGAGCCGATTGACCATGGTGCGTCATGTTCCTTGTTACTGTCTCGCCTGCGTCTTCGTCTCCCACATTTCCTGCATGAAGTAAAAAATTACTGAGCACGAACGATGATAGAGAAGGTAAGCTTCTGTACCTTCGTCATGATCGTCTCCTACTGGACTGGGCTCATAGGCAGCTTGGACGGTGATCGGTATCGTTGTAATCAGAAAATTTTCCCTCTCCTCCCGCTTCTTATCGTCCTGTGCCTGAAGAGCTTTTTTGATCAGTTCGGTCTGTTGCTTCTTGCGCGTTTTCGTCGCGGTCACTAAGGATCTCTAAACCAAATAGCAGACATTACAAGTGATTCATTGATCTTGGAAATTATCAGATTGTGTAATAAGTAATTTCGGATTGTTCAGCAATAATGAAACGATTACATTTTCATGTCGTTGTAATTTTATAAGAATAATGTATACCAAGTGTGTGTGTATGACAGGAGATTAGATCGAAACATATCTTTTGTTTCATAAAATTATAACGACACAAAAATATAATTTTTGG